CGTATCTTCAATCAAATCTCTCTGATTATTCACTTAAAATAAATCTTAAGCAACTTTTCACTTATCATAAAACTTCACATAATTCACAAATTTTCACTTTAATCCTCTTCACGCTTTAGTTTAAAGACATCCAAATAAACGGATTATTTGTAAGCCTCAGCTCTGCTGAAACTGCATCAATTCATATTTAAATCAATTCGATTTTCATGGCTTTAGCTTTTTGCTGTTGTTTGTTGGTTATTGCTTTCTATGGCCCATGGCCCACTTGGCTGGAAGAGAAAAAGAAATGCTCGAAATGCATTTGCAACCTACTCAAAATGTTGCCAAGTAATGCAGACAATGCAAATGTGTATTCTGTGTATATGTGTGTGTGTGTTGCTCTTATCCTTTTTCTGGTTTTTTTTTTTTTTTTTGGTCACACAAAAGTTGAGCTGGGAATAAAAGTTTTTAATCTGCCGCATGGAAAACTTTAATCGAAATGCTCGAGTGGGAAAAACTAAGTCAAACTTTTCAAATTGATATATCAAACATTCGATTCGTATGTTAGCCTATCCCGCTCTCTCAGTCGCTATCTCTCTCTGTCTCTCTCTCTGTCTCTGTCGCTGTTTGACTGTCTCATCTTGTGCAAACATTTTGACTGTCACATGCCAATTGCGTGTTGAAATGCATGCAGGAATTTAAGCTGCAAACTTTTGCCGCCGACTGTGACAAATGCAAATGTCAAAGTTTTCCCCAATACAGACACACACACATATATACACTATATATAAAGCTGCACTTTAGTTTGTGTAAAAAAAAGTCGATTCGACTCCATTTGCTGGCGCTTCTCATATGTAGAGATTAAAGAGAGCTTGAGCTGACCTTTTGGCACTACACCAAACACTGCACTTTGTAGCATCTCCTCCTCTCTCTCTCTCTCTCTTTCTCTCAGCTCGAATTCAAAACGTGACTTTATTTCGTTTTCACAAACATTTACAATTGTTTGTTTTTTGTTTTTTTTTTTTTTTTTTTTTTTTTTTTTTTTTTTTTTGTCGTCTGATTTATTGTTGTTCTGCTCGTGTCAGCCTCGAGTGTTGCTTAAATAGAAATTAATGGCAACAATTTATAGAGCAATTCAGTTTTTAGTCGAGTAGTATAACAAATTATAAATCTCTAAACGATTTACAAGTTGTGAGGGTTTTTTTTTTGCTGTTAAATAAACTAGATAGAAGTGAAATAAAATCTGTGGACATAGTTTTTATATATTTAATATGATTTCAAAAAGGCAGAGGTTGAGGTACAG